GGAGGGAGTTTTGAGGGGTCCCCGGGATGAAGCCCCCCCCTGAGGTACCTTCCGCCGGTACCGGGGGTTGGGGAGCACCGCGGGGAGGTTTGAGGAGGGTCAGGGCGGCTCAGAGGCTGCTGGTTGGCATGGGGAGGCCGCGGGTCTGATGTAAGGGAGACCCCAGGGAGGCCTCAGGCCTGAGAGCAGAGGGAGGCCCAGAGGGGCCCCAGGGAGGCCCAGGACCCGCTTCAGGGACACCCCAGGGAAACTCCAGAGAAAACCCGGGGTGGCTCCAGGGAGGACACCAGGGACACCCCAGGCCTTCTGCAGAACCACGTCAGGGAGACCCAGGAGGTTTCCAAGGGAAAGCCCCAGGGAGGTGGTGGCTCTTGGGAGCATCGCAGCTGCTCCAGCAAATCCCCAGCAATGCCCTGATCCTGCCCAGGTCCCAGAGCCACACGCCTGTTCTACCCCCCGGGCAGAAATTTGGGAGCCATTTGTGGGCAAACTTCAAGCGGTGAATGAGTCCCTGAATCAGTGCCAAGGCATCCCTCGGGATCCAGCCGCCTCCCACCCTGTTCCCAAGGGATCCCTGGGGATCCAGCCGCCTCCCACCCTGTTCCCAAGGGATCCCTGGGGATCCAGCCGCCTCCCACCCTGTTCCCAAGGGATTCCTGAGGGGATCCGTGCGGGGGCTGATGTCCCTCCTGTGTCCCAGCCCAGTGCCATGGATGCCCTGCATGAGGCCGGGATCCAGGCAGCCGTGGCCCTGCAGGCTGGGCCGCCCTGGCTGGAGCAGTTCTGGCTCTTCCTGACCTCCCACCTGGACCCCGGTGCCATCTACACCATCTGCTTCCCGCTGGCCCGCGGGCTGGACGACCACGTGTCCATGATGGTCCTCTGGATCGCCCTCGTGGCCGAGTGGCTCAACGTGGTCCTCAAATGGTGAGGGGGGACACGGAGCGGGGCTCTGGGACACTCCCTGCTCCCTGCCTGTGGAATTCTGGGCACAGACTGCCCGCTCCCTGCCTGCGGCGTTCCACAGGGTCACCGGAGCTGCCCCAAGCATCTGCCAGGAATTCCTGGCAGAGAAAACCCCAGGAGGCGTCAGGGCTGCCAAGGGATCCTGTCTTCCCACTGTGGATCCTCCCTGGATCCTTTGGGATGGGCTGCAGGGATCCTGCCTTCCTGGATCCCTGGGATGGGCTGTGGGGATCCTGCCCTCCTGGATCCCCGGGGATGGGCTGCAGGGATCCTGCCCTCCTGGATCCTTTGGGATGGGCTGTGGGGATCCTGCCCTCCTGGATCCTTTGGGATGGGCTGCAGGGATCCTGCCCTCCTGGATCCTTTGGGATGGGCTGCAGGGATCCTGCCCTCCTGGATCCCCTGGATGGGCTGCGGGGATCCTGCCCTCCTGGATCCCCTGGGATGAGCTGCAGGGATCCTGCCCTCCTGGATCCCCTGGATGGGCTGTGGGGATCCTGCCCTCCTGGATCCCCTGGATGAGCAGCAGGGATCCTGCCCCCCGGCGTTCGGGGCTGGCTGTCTCTCCCACGGCTCCGTGCTCTCCCTGCCCGCAGGTTCCTGTTCGGGGAGCGCCCGTACTGGTGGATCCACGAGTCGGGGCTGTCCAGCCGGGAGCAGCTCCCGCTGCACCAGTTCCCGGTCACCTGCGAGACGGGCCCGGGTGAGTCACGGCTCGGGCAGCCCCGGGATCCACGAGGATTCCATGTGGGAATGCCGGGCTGGAAGCGGGAAAAGCCCGGAGCAGCGGGGAAGGGTTGGGCTGGACATTCCCAGCTCTTCTCCCCTCAGCCCCGTGTTTCATCCCCCAGGGAGCCCCTCGGGCCACTGCATGATCCTGGGGGCGGCCCTGTGGCCGATTGTCACCGCGCTGAGCACGGCGGTGTCCCGGCACACGCGGAGGTGAGTGCGGGCTGTGCGGCGCTGGCTGGATCCCGCCCTGGCCCCGGCTGAGCCCGTTCCCTTCCAGCCGGCTGCTCAGGCTGGTCCCGTTCCTCGCCTACATCCTCCTGCTGGTGGCCATGGGGCTCTCCCGGATCTTCGTCCTGGCCCACTTTCCCCATCAGGTGGTCACCGGCTCCCTGGCAGGTGAGGGGAGGCACCCCAGCTCCTTCCCGTTCCCCCCAGCCCCTTCCCAGTCCATCCCAGTGCCGACCCCGCCTGTTCCCGCTGCCAGGGATGGCTCTGGGCTGGGGGCTGCAGCGCTGGCCCCCCAACTTCCTCAAGTGCCGCTTCTTCCTGGTGACGGCCCTGGGGCTGCTCCTGGGCGCGCTGGCCCTGCACGGGCTGGCCACGGCCGCGGGGCTCGACCTGGACTGGTGAGTGCCCGGGGCCAGGGGGGTCCCGAGGGGGTCCCAGGGGGTGTCCCAGGGGGTCCCGAGGGTGTCTCAGGGGGTCCCGGGAGTCCCAGGAGGGTCCCAGGGGTGTCCCAGGGGGTCCCGGCGGGGTCCCAGGGGGTCTCGGGGGTGTCCCAGGGGGTCCCGGCGGGGTCCCGGGGGTCCCAGGGGGGTCTCGGAGGTGTCCCAGG